ATGCTGACAGGATTTGATCTTAAAGGGTAAATGAAAAGATCAATCCAGTGTAGAAAACCAATGAGAAATGATCTATAATAGAGACTACACTGACCCCTTGGTATCTACTGGAGTTTTGTTCCAGGATACCAAAATCAATGGATGTCTAAGTCCCATTATGTAACATGGCACAATAAAACGGTATATCTTACCTAAAAAGGCAAAATCAAGATTTGTTTTTGAAGTTTTGGTGCCTAAAAAATCTTTCCAAGCCTTGGTTTAATCCATGAATGCAGAATATGTGATATCGAGAATAGACTGAATTAATAAAAAGACTGAAAATGAAATGGTCATGAAGTGGCCCTTACACACAGCCATATAACCCTGAATGTCAAGGCAGATAATCCACAATATCTTCTTTGAACTGGATTATCTGAGTCCACACTGACATACAATGCAATTCAATGTGGATTTCATATAGGTGTGTGGAAGGGGCCCTAGTCTCAGAGTCCTAGTCCACCACATCAACAATTACACCACAATAGCACTCCACTTATTAGATTAGCAAAAAGAACACAAAAGTATATGCTGTGCAGTTGTCCCCCCACCCTATTCTGTCCCCAATTTGCCTTTGGTAATTTCTCACCTGGTGAGGAGAAATGAGTATCATAAAAGCTTGTAAATGTAACCACTAACAGCTCTTTTACTTAAACCAACAGATGTACTACGCTAATATTGATATCAGGATGCAAGTCAGATGTACTTCATTTTTTTAAAAAAAAATTGTTCTACCATGAAGCAAGCTCAGAAATATGCTGCCCTCTTAAAAGTATAATCAAAACCTTGCCTCCTTGGTGTGGGAAGAAAAGGAAGATACAAAGAGCCTGGATAGAAATTTCTGACCTCAATGTACAATTACTGCTTCCTCCAATTGCTGGCAACCTCTTGGGACTCTTCCCACACCCAAGAGACTGTGACGGAGGGGGCTGGGTAGACATTTGGTAGCTGCTGACATGCGAAACGTGTTAACAGTGTGCTTGTCCCCATTTGCAACAAGTAGACAAGCCACATGGTGGAGATGTTTTTAGTTCATCCTCCTCCTTTACCCCTAGGCATTTCCTCCACTCCATAAAATGATTAGTTTTACTGCACACATAGAAAGAGTGGGAAGAACAAAAACATCTTGATCCCTCTTGGATAGTAGTTGACTAAACAAGTTTATATTGGAAATCTCATAGCAAACAGTTCAAACACAGTTCCTAACCAAACACAAGAACTTCAGCTTGGACTGCGAAAGACCTGCTGCTGGATCTCAGGGATGCTTTCCATTATACAAAAAATGAGTTACTCCTGAGATATTCAGTGAAATCTTCCTTTACTCCCTACAAATTAGGCTGCCCAGCTTCTATCCCAAAGGGCACTTTGTTGTTACGAATCTTCAAGCTATAGCTGATTTATGGCGAACCTATCATGGGGTTTTCTTGGCAAGACTTGTTCAGAGAGAGTTTACCATGATTGCTTTCTTCTTACTTGTTTTTAGGTCCCACTGTGCTCAGGCAAGCAACTTTCCGTAAACGTATGACAACCTTAAGATCCTTCCCACACAGTAGCCAAGAAATCCAAAGAAATGAAAAAGGTGGGGAGAATAAATGAAAAGAGGTCTGACCCCTTTTTTGCCTCATTTTGACACACAAGCACTTGATCAAACTACATAGAGACCTTTCATCAAATGTTAGCACAGTGCATGAATCAATGACACTTTTTACTTCAAGGGAGGGAGGTGGGAAGGGGAGAGACGGAAGGCAAAGAAAAGGAGAAGGCAGGGAATAAAAGGAGCCACTCTGGGATGGGAAATGGCCAGGGCGGAGGAATTATATCCAGCTCTTAAAAACAGGAGGAGGAAATTCCAGGGGCCAGTCCGATCTGCAGAATTATAGCAGATTGACACCACTTTAACTGCCACGGCTCGATGCTATGGGGTTCTGGGAGGTATAGTTTGCTGAGACATTAACACTCTTTGACAGAGGCAGTATAGAACAGACATGGGCAAACTTGGGCCCTCCAGGTGTTTTGGACTTCAACTCTCACAATTCCTAACAGCCTACTAGTCGAACTCTCAAACACCTGGAGGGCCAAAGTTTACCATAACCGGCTGTTAGGAATTGTGGGAGTTAAAGTCCAAAGCACCTGGAGGGCCAACATTTGCCCTAACTAGCTGTGTGTTGAAGTCCAAAACATCTGGAGGGCCGAAGTTGGCTCATGTCTGGCATAGAACTAGGATTCCACAGCACTGAGCTATGGCAATCAATGTGGTATCAAACCATTCATTCTACAGTGTAGAGATTTGCTGTAGCACCCGAGAAGGCAAAATATCCCACCAAACTGTAAATCCCAGAATTCCATCAAACTAAGCCATTCTAGTTGAAAGTGGTGCCACTGCTGCAACAATGCAGCAGTGGCTTACATCTCTGGCAGGTGAAAGGGTCTGGCCCCTTATTTGGGTATTTTTTTATTATGTCTGTTTTATGTGGCATCTAATTGTTACCTATTGTAAGGTCACTCTGAGTCCCCTTTGGAGTGAGAAAGGTGGGCTAGAAATATAGTCAAATAAATAAATAAATAAATATTGCAGTACATAGTACAATAAATAATAAATAAATATTATAAATAATATAAAAATAAATAAATAAATAAATAAATATTGCAGCATAGTACAATATAGTAATATATAACACTAATATTGTGCTATGCTAATAACATAATATATTGTATGTACTTATAACATTGATCATAATACTGTAATACAGGCATCCTCAAACTGCACCCCTCCAGCTGTTTAGGCCTTCAACTCCCAGAATTCCTGACAAATGAACAAGCTTGTTAGGGCTTCTGGGAGTTGGAGGCCCAAACAACTGGAGGGCTGCAGTTTGAGGATGCCTGCTGTAATACAATATAATACTAATAATAATTCAATATAATAATATAATTATTATTTATTATATATTACATGTAATATTACTAATTATATTGCAGCATAGTACAATATAGTACTATATACTAATATTGTGCTATGCTAATAATATATTAGATGTAAATAATATATTAGATGTAGATATAATATTGATCATAATACTGTAAAACAATATACTACTAATAATAATAATCCAATATACTAATATAATTATTATATATTATATATTACATGTAACATTACTAATAATATTGTAGCATAGTGGTATAGTACAATATAGTAATATATAATATTAATATTGTGCTATGCTAATATTATATATTGCATGTGCATATAATATTGATCATAATACCGTAATACAATATAATACTACTAATACAATATAATAATATTATTATATATTATATATTACATGTAATATTACTAATAACAATGCAGTATAGTGGTACAATACAATATAGTTATATATAATATTAATATTGTGCTATGCTAATAATATAATATGTTGTATGTACCTATAATATTGATCATAATAGCAAAATATAATATAATAGTAATATATAATACTTTTTTTGGTCGTGTCAGGAGTGACCTGAGAAACTGCAAGTCGCTTCTGGTGTGAGAGAATTGGCCGTCTGCAAGGACATTGCCCAGGGGATGCCCGGATGATTTGGTGTTTTATCATCCTTGTGGGAGGCTTCTCACATGTCTTCGCATGAGGAGCTGGAGCTGATAGAGGGAGCTCATCCGCCTCTCCCTGGATTCGAACCTGGGACCTGTCGGTCTTGAGTCCTGCCGGCACAAGGGTTTAACCCACTGCGCCACCGGGGGCTCCATATATAATACTAATAATATAATACTAATATATAATACTAATACTAATATAATACATATATAATACTAATAGTGTGCTATAACAATAATATAATCTAATATATTGTATTGTACATATAACTTGTAAACAGGGGCGGCTCAACCATTATGCAAAGTAAGCCTTTGCAGTATAGTTGATTTTGCCCAGGGGCGCTCTTGAGGCGCTCTTGGGGGAAAATAGACCTTGACATACGCGAGTTGTAGTTACTGGGATGTATAGTACACCTACAATCAAAGAGCATTCTGAACTCCACCAATGACGGAATTGAACCAAATATGGCACACAGAACTCCCACCATGAACAGAAAATATATATCAGTGATTGGTTGGGGAGGGGGGCGCCAAAATACTGTTTGCTTACCATTGAAAATTACCTAGGGTCGCCTCTGCTTGTAAGCCGCTCTGTATCCCCTTCAGGGTGAGAAGGGTGGGATATAAATGTCATATTCACAGCTGAATGTTTTTATGTTGAATGTTTTATGTTGAATGTTTTTATGTTGAATGTTTTTATGTTGAATGTTTTTATATTGAATGTTTTATATTGTGTATAAACTGTTTTAAATTGTAAGTCGCTCGGAGCACCTTGGTGGAGAGCGACTAATTAAGAAATAAAGTGATGATGATGATATACATGTCATAAATGAATAAATAATAAATAAATAAGGGAAGCCTGGGCTCCTTGTCGCCTCTTCCACAAAAGCTAAGGCTCACCAATGCAGTTCGACACCACTTCCAAGCGCCAAGGCTCAACGCTGGAAGTTGTAGTTTGCAGTTTAGAGAAGGCTAAGGACAGTTTAAAACTAGGACTCCCGGGATCCCACAGCGGTGAGCCGTGGATGCTAAAAGTGGTGCCAAACTGCATTAATTCTGCAGTGTAGAGCAGGCATGGCCAAACTTGGGCCCTCCAGGTGTTTTGGACTGCAACTCCCACCATTCCTAACAGCCTCGGGCCCCTTCCTTTTCCTCCTCTGCCGCTTAAGCTTAGGAATGGTGGGAGTTGCAGTCCAAAACACCTGGAGGGCCCAAGTTTGGCCATGCTTGATGTAGGCTCCCCTACTTATCTAAACCGCTAGAAACTCCATGAGCATCCCAGGCGTTTGAGGGAGGGAGGGAGGGAGGGAGGGAGGGAGGGCAAGAGCAAGGCCTGAGCCAAGCCGCCGGCGTCCTTCCTTCTTACCTCCCTGGCGGGGGCTGCGACTTCTCTCTCCTCTTGGCCGGCCTTTTGGTCTCCCGGCGGCCTTGGGCGTCAAGAGGGCGGCAGAGCCGGCCAGGAGGCGCTGCGGGGCCGCTCCGAGCGCCACTCTTCTCCTCAGGGCTCCCCAGCTGACTGGCCTCCGGCGCAAAGAGCGGCAAACGCCGCCGCCTCCGCTGACAGCGCCGCAATATGGCGGCCGCGAGCCTTGGGTATTATATATATATATATATATATATTTTAACTCTCGCCCCTCTCGGAGTTGTTGGCGCATGCGCACGGAAGGGAGCGAGAAAGGGCGCACGCGCAGCGCACTGGGATGAAGCGACTACCCTGAAGTCTATTTGGGGGGAAAGGATGCGTAGGAGAGAGAGAGAGAGAGAGTTGGGAAAGTCGTTAAGGAGCGACCGTTGGTCAGGGTGTCACGTGGGATGAGAGGGGGGCGCGAGGAGCCTATAAAAGGGGATTCCGCCTATAAAAGGGGAGCGCTTAGAGGATTCTCTCCTCATTCTAGAGGGGGAAAGCAAAGTGAAGGGTCCCTTCACATTCAATATAATCAGGCCTCTTCCACGCAGCTGAATAAAATCCAACATTTTCTGCTTTGAATTGGAATATTTATTTATTTATTTATTTATTTAAAAGTTTTGCATACCGACCTTCTCACCTCTCCTGAGGGACTCAGACCGGTTTCCAACCATAATATCACATACAATCAATAAAACATAATGCATATTACAGTAAAACATTAAAACAGCAATTACAGTCAATAACTATAATGGTCAGCCATCACACTAAAATCATTGCTCATCATCCTCCATCCATATCTCAGGGTGTTGGCTCACTCGTCGAATGCCTAAATATATGGAGACTGAATATCCTTCAGGACAGCCCTATATCTCAGATTTATCAAGGCAGAAAATCCTACATTATTTATTTAAAACTTTTATATCCCAATCTTTTCAACCTCCGTAGAGGGACTCAATCTAAAAACATATAATAACGAGTTAAAATATATATCAATTAAAATTACAAATAAGTCAAATCGCCAAGATAAAATCATGTCCAACTCAGGCCGTATGTCCAACTCAGTGCGTGTTATCTGAGTGTGGATTCAGATAACCCAGTTCAAAGCAGATATTGTGGGTGTTATTCAATTGTGTGGAAAGGGCCCCAGATAACTCAGGACCCTTCCACACAGCTCCATATCCCAGAATATCAAGGCAGAAAATCCCACATCTGAGTGTGGAGTCAGATAACTCAATTCAAAGCAGATATTGTGGATTTTATTCAACTGTGTGGAAAGGGCCTCAGATAACTCAGGGCCCTTCCACACAGCTCTGTATCTCAGAATATCAAGGCAGAAAATCCCACATAACCCAGTTCAAAACAGATGTTGTGGATTTTATTCAACTGTGTGGAAAGGGCCTCAGATAACTCAGGGCCCTTCCACACAGCTCTATATCTCAGAATATCAAGGCAGAAAATCCCACATTATCTGAGTGTGAACTCGGCCCTTCCACACAGCCCTATATCCCAGAATATCATGGCAGAAAATCCCACATTATCTGAGTAGCATTTAAGACTTTTAGATCCACTATTTGCTCAAAAGCAATACTACCATCACACCTGCATTTGATTTTTAAAAGTTTGTCAATCATGATGACATTTTGTGCATAGGCATATCAAATATAACTTCTAAAGTCTCTGTGTGTGTGTGCCTTCCACCTTCTTGCATATTTATCAAGGAGATATTTATAAGATATGCAGATGCTGAGCAGAAAAAGTTTGAAAAGAGTGTGGAATTAGAGATGTTCAGGTAGTCAAGACATCCTGCCTTTTTGATGTTGCTGTTTGACTTCTGCATATGAATTGAGATGTTATCTTTTGCAGAGTCATCAGTGGCTATGGGCCCTTCTACACAGTCCTGTCTCAGAATATCAAGGCAGAACATCCCACATTATCTGAGTGTGGACTCAGATAACCCAGTTCAAAGCAGATAATCTGGGATTTTCTGCCTTGATATTCTGGGATATAGGGCTGATATTGTGCCACCCAAAATATCAAGGCAGAAAATCCCACAATATCTGCTTTGAACTGGGTTATCTGAGTCCACACTGCCATGCATTCAAGTTCAAAGCAGATAATGTGGGATTTTATTCAGCTGTGTGGAAGGAGCCCCAGAATATCAAGGCAGAAAATCCCACATTATCTGTGTGTGGACTCAGATAACCCAGTTCAAAGCAGATATTGTGGGATTTTCTACCTTGATATTTTGGGATATAGGGCTGTGTGGAAGGGCCCCCAGAATCTCAAGGCAGAAAATCTCACAATATCTGCTTTGAACTGGGTTATCGGAGACCCTCTGCTTTGAACTGGAGATGTGGGGTTTTATTCAGCTGTGTGGAAGGGGCCTCAGATAACTTAGGGTTGCCCTAAGTCTGAAATGACTTGAAGGTACACACAACAACAATCCTAATTAATTGTCGAAGGCTTTCATGGCCGGAATCACTGGGTTGTTGCCCAAAAAAACCTACAACAATCCTAATTAACTTGACTATGTCATCAGAGCATTGAAATACTGGTAAGTTTATGTTGGTTAAAATTATTATTTGTTTTAAATATTGGGTTTTTTGTTGTTGTTGTTTTTTGCACCATAAATACTATTTGTACAGTGTGCATAGGAATTTGTTCTTTAAAAGTTTGTGAATCCGTGTTCTAGACTGATCAGACTCTAGAGTGGAAGGGAAAAGGAACCAGTAATAAAGAAAAATAGTTGGAAATGGGACAGAAGGGACAACAATGTGAGGGTACATTTACTTTGTAGATGAGACCACTTTAACTAACTGCCATGGTTCAAAGCTATGGAATCCTGGGAGTTGTAATTTTATAAGACCTCTCACCTGCAGCCAGGGGAGCAGATGGAAATAAGAGGTTTCTCACTGAAGAAAAATTGAATACTTTTACTAGTGCATTAGATGTAAAGTGGGTTTCTTCTCACTATAATTTTTTCATTTGCCACCTAAACTCACTGTACAAAAAACAAAAACAAAACTCAGACCACTAGAGTTGAATGTTGTCTTTTGAGCATTGTTTCCCTTTCCTCTCTGGTAATAACCAGAAAGAAGCAATGCACAAAGGGAGGCCAAGTTTTCCCCTTTTGTTTTGGATAAAATGCAGTTCGAGGCACGGCAGGAATAAGGGAGAAAAAGAGAGTTCAGGACGAAGAGGGCCAAGAAATAGTTGAGTTACCAAACCTGAGTCATGTAAGAGCTATTAATATAACAGGCTTCTTACAGTCTTCTAAGAGCCTGAGGATGAATAGAGAGAAATTTCCAATTAGAAGACACAGGAAGAAGAGCAAATCAGGAGAAAGGGGAGAAATCTCATTGCAAGGAAGCATATGGTAAAAATTTCCCTTGAGAAGTAATGGGTGCTTCATAATTAAAGTACCATAATCAAATTAGTCAGGGCAAATCATGGATAGATATAGAGTAATCTGATCAAAAGGAGTAGAGCAAGTCGACATCAGATATTTAATTGGTCTTATTCATTTCTATAATAAGGCAGATTCCTATCTACATTAAAAAGATATTCAAGCTTTCCCTATTCAATGTAGTAAATATTTAAAACATATATAATTGGCATGCAACAAGGAGCGGATAGCTTTTTTCTTCAAGGGCTAAGCCCCCTCCCCTCATTGGAAATAGAAACTATAAAATATCCCCTCATGGATATTTTAAAATATTTCTTAACTGCTTTTCACTACTATAATTGCTCAAACAAAACAGTAACACTTGAAAATGGCAAATTATAAATCTACATTACATTGGATTAGTTTTAAACACCTCTACTAAAATATGATGCCATATAGTTCCAATATGAGACAGTATGATATAGTGCTTTGGCCACTGGAATATTATTATTATCATTATTAATATAATTATATTATTCATGTCCTGCTTTTCTCTCTTGATCAAGACCCAACACAGTTATGGCTCTGGCGACAATGGGTCCCAAGATACCATTATTAGTATTATTTAAAAGGGTATAAAAACAATGTTCCTTTAATCAGAGTGAAATTGTCACCAGGGCTGACTGGTGATGGAGTCATCAAAAGTTTCATATTTACATGTAACTGTCACATTTTAATAAGCAGATATGTGACTTTAAATAACAGTGTGACATTCAGAAGTAGTCTTTTATTCAAAATTGCACATAGTGAGCCTTTTGTTTATAACAGGTCAGTATTTTTTTAATCAAGTCTAAGTAAGATATTGAGCACTGGCATTCATTTTTAATATTTGTTTGGCTGGGTTGTTTGTTTTTTTTTAAATCTGCACACTCTAATCTAATCTGAGTCAATAAAACATTTTTAAAGTGGTGCTAAAAGAAAATAATGTAAATAATGAATTGGTTTATCAGCTCCGGATCTCCACTCATCCTGCTCCCTGCCACTCGCCTTTTCCACAAGAGTGTAAAATTTCAGCTGCATAAATAAAGTAAAACAAACAAGAGGCAATAAATGTTTGGGAATGGTGCCAGTTTAAGTGGCAGAGTGACAGATCAGCTATTTGTTTGATGTGCCACTGTAGTCAGGTTTTATTCACCTTTTCAATATTTTGGTTGTTGTGGATAAGAAAGGGAAAAATTGGAAAACATTGTTTTGCCAAAAAATTGTGGTGGAGGTTGGAGACCTTTGGGGACTGTACTTTCTCATATTATACATTAATGTATGAAACAAGCCTTGCTGTCTGGTCCTCTGGATCAGAGCTTCTGAAACTTTTTCCACTTGCAGCCTCTTTCTGTCCAAGGAAACAGGTATATAGGTATATAAAACGGGTATCAAAATCAAACATTAATTATAATAAATCTGCATTTGCAAGGTTTGCTAAACAGGCTGATTACAGCTAAAATGTTTTCTGCAGAGTCCACTGTAATCACGGCATATTGTTACTAACAAATTTGTTACTAACCTTCTACTGTTGCCAGATTTTTTGTGATCCCAACATTGAGTTAAAGGAACCCCATTTGTGGTCAGGACCCACAGTTTAAAAAGCAGTGCTCTAGATTTAACCTTTAAAAGTAAAACAATAAGAAATCAGCTACTGTTCATGCTGCTCTGTAAGCCTATGGTGCAAAAGAGCACACAAGGTGCAGTTTGACACCACTTTCACTGCCATTGTTCTGTGCTATGGAATCCTAAAAGTTGTAGTTT